TGCACCGGCGGGGGCTGTTTTTGGGCTTCTTAGTGACCCAAGGTCCTCACCTTGCACCCTACTTCTGGTCCAGGGTCACACGGGGCGTCCAGAGCATCCTCCTCACCCTAGTGCTTTTCTGAGCCAAGAGGGGCTATGACACTAAAGGCCCTCGAGTGCTTGCCACTAAGGACTCCCTACATGGGGAAGGCAGCCCTGTCCCTTCAGGCCCCATGCCACCTCCTGTGCATGGAGCTGGGCTCAGTTTAGGCGTGCGTCTCTGGGAATCGGGTCCTGGCCCCATGGGTGTGACCTGTGGGGGCACAGTCTGCTCCCTCGGTGCTGATGCAGTTGGAGGGACACCCTAGTTGGGGCCATGTCTCTCATGCCTCCTCAGGGTACCCCACCACCACCATCCTGGATCCAAGGCGGTGATGCCTCTGGTTCCAGCCGCTCCCCAAGGTGGACAGGCCCCCAGGCACCCAGGGCTGGTTGTGGTCACAGCTGGCCCAGCCCTCAGGCCACAGCCAAAGCACTTGAAGTTCAGCCAAGACTCATGCGGCGCTGTCCGCGGTCCACTGCCGTCCCGTGACCACAGCCCAGGGTGGGGGGGGTGGAGCACTGCTACTGACACCCTGCGCGCACTCCCAGACCAGGAGCTCCTGCCCTGCAGCCCCAGGCTGCCTCTCACAGAATGGGAGCCCTCGGAGGGGAAGAGCGCTGGGAACAGTAAGAGGCCACACGGCCCCAACGAGACAGCACCTCGCGGCGCTTCAAATCCCAGCCGCCGAGACTTGGGCAGATTCCGGCCCAGGAAAGGAGCTATGCAGAGCACCAGCCCCACGGTGTCTGCAGGGACAGTGTGTGCAGGGAGCCGGGCCCCACATGGCCAGCGCGGCTGCCTCGCCCTGCAGCCCTTTCCTTTTCTGCCACAGGATGACATCAAATCCCTGCCAGTCACCGGGCACCAGCAGGGCACCGTGTGTCCCAGCCTCAGTGTCTGGAACACTGTGGACATGGCGGTGCCCAGTGAGAATTTGACGCATGATGCAGGGGTGGGATTTGTCACCGTGGGGCACTAAGTGCTCAACCACCCATGTGCCCAGGGGCACAGCCCTGCACCGTGTGCTCGGGCTCAGTCCACCTTCTCCACTCGTGTCTGTGTGTTGGCCGTGAGCCACCTCTGCAGAAGGCGCCAGGAAACCCTGAGCAGCGGAGGCCCTAGCGTCCTGGCCCGCGACCCAGAGCTGGCCTGGCCCTGCCCATCTGCCCTGCCCAGGGCCGCCTGGTCAGATGGGCGGTGAGGCTGGACCTCTTCCCTTGGGGCGCCTGCGCGTTGGCCTTCTTTGGTTGTCAGCAGGCCGGCCACTGGCCCTGCCCAGGCATGGTGTTGACAGGCCCCCACAGCTGCGACCACACGTGTGCCTAGCCGTCAGCCTGGGCCAGAAGGTGGGGGGTGCCCCACAGGGGGAGGCCGGCGGCTGCAGCTGAGGACAGCAGGTGCGGGCCGGGTGTGGGTGGCGGAGGAGGGCATGTCCCCACATCTCCGAGCTGCCCTCTTCCTGCTGGCAGGGGAGGGGAGGCTGGGGGCTGCACGGTGTTGGTGGGGGTTGTGTGTGGCGAGTGGCCTGGTGGTCACCGTCCAAGGCTGGGAGGCCCAGAACCTCAGTGCCTCTGAGTCCACGCAACTGCCCGGGCACTGGGCTAGGGGTGCAGGCCAACAGCCGACCCACAGTAGCCGAGACAGCCGACAGGCACGGAGTCCCAAGCCCTACCTCCATCTGCTTTGCCCCGTGTGTGGGGGTCACCGGCCCACTGAGTCCCAGGGAGCTGGGCCCTGGGTGTCTCTGGTGCCTGATGCGGCACCCTTGATGGTGACACAGGGTGCTCAGCCCTCCTGCAGGGGCAGCCCCTGGCTCAGCCACACTGGCCCTGCTCTCCAGCCACCCCTCAGGGCCCTGCTCTGGGGCCTGGGGACTCAGGGTCCACCTGGTCCTGGCCCACCCCAGCCCTCTTTATCTTCTGGCCTGCCCCCCCGCACCCCAACCCTGAGGGGACTGGGCTGAGCCTCGGGCTCCCATGACAAGCTGGTGACAGTCCAGGCTGAGGATGTCCAGCTGTTGTGAAGGTCCCTGGGGGGATGATGATCAGAGGTTCCGCCCTCCCAAGTGCCACCTGCTCTTTTAGCATCAGAAAACTTGGGGGGCCTCACCTGGAATGCTGGGGGCTCAGAGCCTCAGGGCCCACACTGCAGAGTAGCTTGGGGTGGGGCTGTCTCCCACTAAACCCTGGTGACCCTGCCTTAGGGGTGCTGCATGCCATCTGCAGACCAGAGCCAGGTGCCCTGGCCTGCCTGGCCCGGCTCTGCTTGGGCCACCTATGGGCCATGCCTATGAGGGGTCTGGAGCTCCACGGGGGACAGGGACCTGGTGTGGTGGGCGGACGTGGACCCAGCTGCATGCCCTTCACCTCCTCTCCCTCTCCCAGCTGACAGGACTGAGAAGGCCGCAGCGATGCCCGACTCCCCAGCAGAGTTGAAGACACAGCCCCGGGCCACGCCCCCCAGCATGCCGCCCCCGCCACCTGCTGCATCCCAGGGTGCCACGCGCCCGCCCTCCTTCACACCACACACACGTGAGTAGCCCCAAAGGTGTGGTTGGCCCTGCGACTCTCTGTGGCGAGGAGCCTAGCCTGCACTGTCTGGCTGTGTGGCTTGGGGCGAGCTCGGAACCTCTGGCCTGCCAGGACCCTCATCAGCAGTGCGGAGCGTCCAGGGCTCCTGCCTCACAGGCACCTCGAGGGCAGGATGAGTTAAAGGGCTCTGACACTGGTGGGCAGCACACTGGGCACTGGGTGACCACAGGCACCCCCAGTGCTGGTTCTGTGCGACGGTTGAGGGACCAGGCCCCTGGACACATCAGGGTGGACCAGTCAAATCCGCAGTGATTTGCCCCAGAGCCCTTGAGCTATCGCATGAGTCTGGAGCAGGTGCCACCAGCCCTGGTCGGAGCCACCGAGGGAGAGTTGGGGTCCTGAGCAGTGGGCAGTATGGCCTCGCGTTTCCAGGGTGGAGCGAGGGAATACACATGGCCCCCACAAGCCTCCCCCTGATGGCCCTCAGGGACAGAGCCTCAGTTCCTGGCCTGGTGACCTGGTCCCCAGCAGGCCGAGAAACCGGAGTTGCTTTTGCAGCTATTCCTGTGGCTCAGCCCAGAGCCTGGCTTTGGCCTCGTCATCGCAGGCGTTGAGGCTGCCCCAGCTCTGTGCACAGAAGGCTCTGCCATGGGGAAGACCTGGCTGGGGCAGCCCACATGCAAGGCCAGCCTTGTCCCTGGTTAGCAGTCTTGCCTCTCAGCCGGTCTCCTGCCAGAAGTGGACAGGGGTTGCTGCCCGCTGTCAGCGGAGGCCACATGCAGGGACATTGCGTGCAGGCACATGTGGGAGCCTCACGTCTGATGCCCTCCACACCTCCACCTTTCTGTGGGCCTCCAGCTCCTGTGTAAGGGTCAGGCTGGGCCCTGGCCCCATGTGCAGCGGAACTGGAATGGGATACCAGCTGGGCCTCTTGCATTAGGGCCCTGGGCTCCGAGGTCCAGTAGGGCGATGGCCTTCCTGGACCTGCCTGGGGCCACGCTGCTCTGGCAGAGGTAGCCACACACACACCAACTGCCTCCACCCTCCGTTTCTCCGGGCCACCCCATGGTGGTCTCGGTCCCCTGGGTGGCTTTGAGCTGGCACAGCAGGTGCGGGTAAGGCTGCTGACTGTGGGCTACAGTCTCTGCTGGCACCTGAGCAGGGGCAAGAGCTGTGTCTGTGGGCTGTGGCAGCCCCAGGGTGTGAGGAAAGGTCCAGTGCCTGAAGAGACAGCCACCAAATACACTCAGGCCCCAAGTGGGAGGAGCAGGTCACAGGGCCCCAGCCTCCCTGCTCCAAGCACAGGCCTGGGGACCCAGATGGGGCTAGAATGCCAGGCCCCTTGGGGCTTTACTTTTTTGAGGCCATAGAGCAGAGGGGAGGGCAGGCTGTGTGTGGCTCGGTGTCCCCACCTCCTTCCCACCCCTACTGACCTACTTGGGTCACATTTCCGGGTGGGAGTCCCAGCACAGCACAGAGCACGGAGCCCGAGAAATGGCAGCTATTCCTCCACAGGCAGCACTCTGTTGGCTTGGCAGGCATGTCCACCTGAGGTCTGGCGTCTGAGGTGGCCTTAGTGTTGTCCCCGAGCCACATGTTTCCCCGAGAGCCCGAGGTCCACTGCACCCGGCTGGTGGAAGCCCCGGCCAGGCCTCTACAGCCGCCTGGATGCCTTCGAGCCAAGCTGGCGAGACCGACCTTGACCCTGGGCTTGAGGCCGCGATTTTCCTGGCCTGGCCTCGGCCCTGGGCACAGCTGATCTTGGAGTTGAGCCACGTGTGGCTGGAAGGTGGGCAGGGAGGCTGAGGCAGCATGGCCTGGAGGAATGCAGGCAGCAGGGACCCAGGCCACACTTGTCTATGGCTGAGCCCTTTGGGCCAAGTCTCCACGCCACCCTGTGACAGACGGGCTCCCTATCTGCTCACAGAATTCCCGCCAGCCCACCTCAGCTCATCCTCCTTTGCACGCCCTCTGCCCTAGGCTCTTACCCTGGGCATCATTCTGGAGCCTGTACCTGAACCTGGCATTGACACGCACAGCTTGGGCCAGGGAGCCAAGCAGGTCCCTAGGCACTGCCTGGGAAGAGGGCTTTCCAAGACCCCGGGGTCCCATCCTCACTGACGCAGAATCTGAAATTCCCATAGACTCCAGGGGTCCTGCCAGAAACGACCTTAGAGACCACCCATCCAGCCCTGTCATTTCCAGACCAGGAAACTGAGGCCCACAGGGGCATGGTCCAGCCCATGGCCGCCTCCTGACAGCGTGTTCTTCTTATTTTGCTTACAGATGGCGAGGACGGGCCTGCGACGTCTCTGCCCCATGGCCGTTTCCACGGCTGCTTAAAGTGGTCCATGGTCTGTCTCTGTAAGTAAAATAACAAGAACCGTGGGTCTGCAGGGCCCCATCTTGTCCTCGTGCTCCTCAGAGAGCAGGGCTGGGGCCACAGGGCCGGGACCCAGGACAGGAGCCCCACAGTGGCCTAGCACTCTGACACTTCCCGAGCCACTTTCCCAGCGGCCAGCCTGGGTGGCAAGGCTGTCCCCAGGGCTGTGAGGACAGAAAGAGACAGTGACATGGGTCAGGGCACATCAAGCCCCGCCACTCAAGAGCATGGGCCTGGCAGGGTGACCCGGGGGCGGCAGGACCACTAGTGCCTCAGTTTCCCCCAGTAAAGCAGACCCAGCGGAGAAGCTGGGCGTGGAGGACGCCCTGCGAGCTGCCGCTGTGCTCCCCGCCTCTGTGTGCCCTGGGAGTCGCCCACACAGTCAGTTTCACAGACACGGGGCCACACCAAGGGCCGGGAAGCAGAGCTGACCTCAGAGCCCCATGCCAGGAGACTGAGCGAGGACCCCCAGGGGCTCTGAGAGGAGGAGGCCTGAGGGCGGTGCAGGGGACAGCTTGAGCCCAGGCCTCCTCGCTGCCCTCGTCCTGGGCCGCTGTGGGCCCTGGCCCACACACTGCGGGGTGGCCGTCTGTGTGGCTGAATGGTTCTGGCTGCGCTGACAAAGGTCCCCCCAGCTCCAGAGCTGCTGACCCCTCCGCAGGAGGGAGTGGCCTGGGGGCTGTCTGTGGGGTTCCTCCATCCCCACTGACCCCACAAGGCCATGAGGCTGGGGAGCCTGGGGTGTCGCGTGGGCCCCCCGCACCTCGGCCGGGACACGTGTGCGTCTAACTTAGTAACACACCTGTCGCGGGAGCAAAAGCACTTGTGCCGGGGGCTATTTTTGGCGTCTCTTTAGCAAGCTGCTGAGGCTGCCGGCAGCCGGGGAGGAGAGACGGCAGCAAGCAGGCCGCGGGGACCCGGGCACCCAGGGCCAGGCTGGTAAGCGGCCTTGGGAGGGCGGCCTCAGGAGGGGCATGCCCGTCTCAGAAGACACTGGGGCCCAGGGGACTTGGGAAATGAGTCCCTGCAATAGTGAGGTCTCCATGGCAACGGGCTACTCCCTAGCCTGGCTGGGCTGACAGTGGTTATATACGGGGCATCTGTGAGTCAGTGGCCACCGTGAGGTCAGAGCTCACCTGTGAGAAGGAAAGCCAGCCACAGCAGGGGCCAGGCTTCACGGGGTCTGGGGCACCCGATACCCCAAAGCAAGAGGGATGCTGAGCCTCGCCGGATCATTCCTGCTCACGTGGCACAGGTCCAGAGCCCAGCTATCTATTCTAGCCTCGGAGGAGCTCCCGGGTCACTGAGCCAGGGTGGCAGCGGGTCCAGCCCTCGTGTGCCCACGGCAGCACTGCCCTGTACTGCCGCCTGTGCAGGGCAGGTGCAGCACTCAGTTCTTGGCCGGTGAGCGTCCTCACGACACCTGGCATACTGGCCAGTCGTGGGGAGCCCCAGGGGTTTCTCCAGGGAGACGGGTGGGCGAGGCTCCAAACAAAGGACTGTGGAGCACAGGGGACCTCCTTGGGCTCTGCTGTGGAGCCCCAGAACCCCAGATACATTGCAGATGAGGGACTGAGGCAAGGCCCTATGTGACCAAGCAGCTGTCCCCCACCTGGGGCAGTGTCTATCCCCATTCTCACACATGGGGCACTTGAATGTGACCGCCAGGCCCGGAGACCAAGGAGAGCACACCCACCCTCTCCCTCATAGTGTCCCTGGGCTGGGGTCCTGACTGGCGCCTGTGCCCACCAGTCCCCTGGGCAATGGATCAGCATGGGGTGAGGGGCAGCTTGGGGCTGCCCTGCTGGGTATAAGGGCCCCAGTGTCCCTGTCCAGCCTGCAGGTTGCAAGCAGGTTCACGTAGGATGTGCCATCCTGGCCTGCCTTGGTGGTCACCTACTGGGGCCATGGTGGTGTCTGACCACAGGTAGCAGAGGAAGCTAGGTGTGGGCAGCCTGAGACCCCAGGGCTGGCTACATGGGCCCAGGTCCCCTCCCCAGGCTTGCAGGGTGGGCAAGGGTGACCAGACCCAGCAAGCAATCATAGAGATCACGCCTGGGCCCTGGCCAGGAAAGATGGAGGGTGGTCTGCCTGAGACCCCTGGGGTCTGAGCACACATAAGAAATAGGTATCCCAGGCCAACTCAGCAGGATCCCCTGCACCTGGATAAGGGGGCTCCATGCCCCTCAGCACCACAGGCCCCAGCAGGCCTCACCACAGAGGACAGAGGTGGCCGAGCCTCCAGGAACTTGGTCTTGAGGGAAAAGGTGGCCCTGACCGCCCATGCGCCATCCCTGCACTCCCAGCTTGGGCCTGAGAACTCGAGGCCGCACGGTGGAGCGGGACAGGGCCTGGGGCAGGAGCAGAGCAGGGCTGAGCAAGAGAGGCGTGTGTGTGTGAATGCACATGCGCGTGTGTATCTGTGTGTGTACTTGTTATCAGTGGCCCAGTCTGGCTGCAGGCTCTGGAATTGGTCACTCAGGGTCCCCGAGGCCAGGGACAGGGTGCAGACACGAGCGTGGGGCTGGTGGCCGCCACCGCAGCCTCTGCCTCCTCATCTGGGCTACGGGGTGAGGGCATGCCTGGGACACATTGCCACAGCCCCGGTGTCCGCCAGAGCCTGGGGACACTGACCTGACGGTGGGGCCAGCCAGCATCTTGTCTCGGTGACGGACAGTGCTGGCCCTGGAGTGTGTACATCAGCTGTCCCTGCCTGTCCCCAACACGCCCCAGCCCGGGGCGAGTCACACGCCTCTGCGTGTCCAGCCGCCTTTGGCAGGACCCAGCCTGCTTGTCCTGGAGAGTCGGGTGCTGTGCCCCGGCGCAGGGGCGATGGGATTGCTCAGGGTTGGAGGCCGTGGCTTGGGCTGGGATGTGTCAGTGGAGAGACGTGGCCGGGTGCCGCACAGAGGCAGGGCTGCTGGTCCCTGGGCAGTGGTGAGCAACTCCTTGTCTCCACCCCCACGAAGAGGTGACGGGAGCCCTGTGGGCAAAGCCTGAGCAGTGATGGGCTGGGCACCTGTGGGCGGGGCCTGATCTCTGCCAAACACAGGTGCTGTCACTTTGGGCCACTGCTGGGCGCGAGTCTCCCTCCCCAGCGCCCTGGGCATAGGCTTCATCCCCGATGCCACCTCCACATCTTAAAGGGGCCACGTGGCCCCGCCCGGCTGCAAGGCCCGGCAGCAGCAGACACGGGGCGCCGAGCACCACCACTCTGTGGTGTGACCGGCTGTCACTCAGTGCTGTTATTGCCCTCCCTGCTGTGGCACCGCCTCTCCACGGCACCACCGCGTCTCCCCTTCCTCCCCCTGCAGTGATGAACGGCGGCAGCCACTCACCGACGGCCGTGCACGGCGCCCCGTCCACACCCAACGGCTTCAGCAACGGCCCGGCCACATCGTGCTCAGCCGCACTGTCCACCCAGCACCTGCCCCCGGCCTGTGGGGCCCGGCAGCTCAGCAAGCTGAAGCGCTTCCTCAGCACCCTGCAGCAGTTCGGCAGTGACATCTCGCCTGAGATCGGGGAGCGCGTGCGCGTGCTGGTGCTGGGGCTGGTGGTGAGTGGCGGCCCCCAGCCTGAGCATGCACAGGCGCACTCACCCCCTCAGCCTGGCGGGGCGTGGTGATGGCCCCCTCGCCTGGATGTGGGTGGCAGTGGGCCGTCACTGACTCAGTCACTTTCTCCAGAACTCGACGCTGACGATCGAGGAATTCCACTCCAAGCTGCAGGAGGCCACCAACTTCCCTCTGCGGCCCTTCGTCATCCCTTTCCTGAAGGTAGCGCGAGCCCCCCAACCCCACACCCAGCGTCTGACAGGGTGTCGTCCTTGGGAGGAGCAGTGTTGACCGGTCAGGGTTGATTCCTTTTAGTTAAGGCGCAGACTAGTTGTCAGAGCCAATGAGTGAGCACCAAGCCTGGCACTCCAGGGCGGAGCTCTGGGTTCAGCGCTGCATCCTCAACGGCCACAGGCGTGTGTCCGTGCAGCAGCCACCCGCAAACACCACTGGGTGCCAGGAGCTGGGGCTCAGGAGCACAGCTGAAGTGGCAGGCACATCCTCACCACCAGTCAGCACTATGGAAACCAGAAAAGTGGGCAGGGAGGAAATGTTGCAGAAGCCCTTAGGGGAGGAAATGCCATGTGGGGCTGAGGACCAGAGAGGAGGTGGTGGATGGCTAGGGACAGAACCCTCTGGGTAGCAGGAACAGCATGCATCAAAGTCCTGTGGCAGGAGGAGCAGCAGGCTGGAGCAGTGTGAGGGAGACAAGGAGGCGGTGGGCAGGGGACAGGCAGGAGGGTGCATGGCTAGGCCTCAGGGTGGATGAAGAGCTGTCTGAAGACTTTGCCCGGGTTGGGGGTCCTTCCAGGGGTCCCCAGGTTAGGCTGCAGATGCCCAGGCCCCTCGGCTCCGTGCTTGGCTGCTGCTGTGAAACGGGGACCCTCGGGCTCTGGGAGGCCGTGTGTGGGGGCACAGCACTTGTGAGGTGCAGTGGCACTGTTGGGGACTCAGCACATCCCTTAGACAAGGAGCAAAAGGCACGGGCACTCCCCACGCCCTGCTTCTCACACTGTGACTCCATCACGTGGCTCTGTCCCACGCTGGTGGCAGGTGCCCTGTGGTAGCTGTGATCCCAGGTGGGACAGAATCCCTGGTATCGCCTGCACACAGCCAGCGCAAGAGCACACCAGCGCAGTGGCTCCCCACAGCAGGCCTGGCACTGCCCGACCTCCTGGCCTATTTCTCTCTGCCTATCATAGCTCTTGAAGGGCTGGGGCCACCCTCTCACCCCCACCCTGCACAATGCATTTTCTGTCCCCAAAGCATGGGTCCTGTCCTTGGGGGGACACTTGTGCTTTGTCACCCAGGCTCCCTGGAGCCCTCACACGGACATCACAGCTCCACCTGCCGTGAGGCTGAGTCAGACCAAGGGACCTGCCCAAAGTCACACAGCCCACGGTGGCCCCGCCAGGCAGTCAGCAGAGCCCAGAGCTACTGCAGGCATTGAGGCTCTGGTCCTCGTGGCTGCTTGGCAAGTGCCCGTGTCCCATGGAGGGGGCTGTGGATGGCCCTCGAGCACTGCAGTCTCCGTGCAGAGGTGGGGCCAGGCCCAGTGTCTGTGACCGTGCGGGTGCTCCTGGGGATGGTGGGGACACAGACTCCTGTTCTGGGCCGGGCAGTGCTGTCTCCATCAAGGGCAGTTGTGTGTCTGGGCCATGAGACAAGTGCCGCCTGTCCCCGGCCCCACCACCCTGCCCCAGCCGCTGTGCTGGCCTGACGCCAGCTTTCCAGAAGCTGGGACGAGCCTGCCTGCCGCAGCCCTGGCTCCCAGTGGGAGGGAATCCAGATGTTCCCACCGCGCCACAGTGACCAGCCGGTGCTGGGGCCTGTCCCTGCCCTGCTGTGCTGGCCGGAGAGGGGATGCCAGGCTCTTGGGGCCTCCCGGACCTGGTTCCCAGCCCTGGCTCCTGACGCATCGGCAGATGGCAGCTGGCCCTTGTTCAACTCCCAGATAGGGAAACAGGCCTGGCAGCCGGCGCCGCCTGCAGAGAACAGCGAAGGCCTGTGGACGCACTCTGAGGGCTGGGAGGCAGAGGCGGGAAGCCACCAGCAGCTTTGAAGTGCATGAGAAAGAAGGGAACTGAGTTTATTTATAAATACTTGGAACTGCTGGCCCTCCCAAGTGGCCTCCACTGGGCCCTGGGCCAGCAGCGTGGGCCCAGCCTGCCCCGCCCACCCCACGTGGCTCTGGGAAGCCCAGGGGTGCACAGGGAGGCCAAGCTGGAGGTGGTGGCCGGGACACAGCATGAGGGCCCGTGCTCTTACCTGCAGACCCCAGGCCACATCTGTGCTGCCAGGTGGCCTGCAGAACCGAGGGACATACTGACATCCAGTCCCTGCTCCAGGTTGCCCTGGTGGAGCGGGGGTGGCCTGGACACCAGGAGGCCGTGGGGTGGGGGGCTGGCATCCCTCGGCGCCCCCCAGGGGCCAGAGCAGACTCTGCAAGTCTCCTGCTTCTGCTCCCAGCGGCTCTGCTTCAGTTTGCTGTGTACTTGAGGCTGGTTGCTTCTCCTTTCTGAGCCTTGAGCTCCTCCTCATTCCAGACGGTTTGGGGCCTGCCTGGGAGAGCGTGGTGACAGGGTTAGGGCTCAGATTTCAGGACCTGAAGTGGCTGTCCTGTTGGCCTCCTATGTGCCTCGAGGAAGCAGCAAGGTTTCTGGGGAAACAGTAGAGGGCTGAGGCCCGGAGTCGGGCAGTCACCAGCCCAGGCTCCACGCCTTCCAGCTCAGCTGTGCGTGTCCCCATCACCCCGCAGGCCAACCTGCCCCTGCTGCAGCGTGAGCTGCTGCACTGCGCCCGCCTGGCCAAGCAGACACCCGCCCAGTACCTGGCGCAGCACGAGGAGACGCTGCTGGACGCCAGCACCACCTCCCCCGGGGACTCTGAGCTCCTGCTGGAGGTGAACGAGAACGGCAAGAGGCGGACGCCTGACAGGTACTGCTTCCCGCTGCCCGCCAGGCAGCCCTAGGTGGGGCTGAGTGACCATGATGGACACCACTGCACCCTGCGGCACCCGTATTGCCCGGCTGGTGGCCAAGCTGTGGTCCAGGCTGATGGGCTGAGGACCCTGATGCCCAGGAGCCCCCAGGTCTGTCCACAGAGGCCAGGGCCCCCAGTACCTGGGGTGGGCCCCTCTGCCAGCCACAGCAGAGCTGTGCCCTCACTGCCCATGCTGCCCCCGGGAGTGGCACCTACTCCAGAGGCCTAGGTGTCTCTTCTCCCTGTACCCCCAACGGGGTGCCCACCAGGTGCAGAGGAGACTTCATCCTGCGAGGCTGGAGTCTTGGTCCCCACCTGTACCGCCTCCCTCCCACCCCTGGCCTCCATCTATGGCTGGTGGCCATGACCACTGTCCCACTGATTTCTGGGCCAGGACCAAAGAGAATGAGTCAGATGGTGACCTGCCGCACCCCGAGCATCTCAGCAAACGGCCCTGCACCCTGAGCCCCGCCCAGCGCTACAGCCCCAGCAACGGGCTGCCGCCCCCCATGCCGCCCCCGCACTACCGCCTGGAGGACATGGCCATGGCCCACCACTTCCGCGACCCCTACAGACCCCCCGGCCCCCGGGAGCTGCGGGAGCGCCACCGGCAGCTCGGTGAGCAGTGTACGGGGATGGGCATGCCTGCGTGAGTGCTGGGCCGGCCGCAAGGGCACCAGCACCTACTCAGGTCGCAGGGACTCTTCACGCCTCAGCTTCCAGCAAGGCTACTCCAGGAGCAGAGGTCATGCAAGGACCAGGGGTGTTTACGTGGAGGTGGCCCTCATCACAGTGAAAACTGCTGGCATGGAGAACGGGCCATTTCAGGCTGGGTCCTCTACCCTACCCTGCCTGACTGACCCCTTCTCTGCTGGGGTTCAAGAGGTGGCCAGCTAAGGGGAGAGCCTGGAAACCGCCAACCCCACGTTGCCCAGGGACCCCAGGTATGGGGCACTCTGCAGGAACATCCAGGGCTAGGGCCCAGGCAGCAGGTGATGGTGGCTGGCTGGCTGCAGCCCGGTCAGGCAGGTGCTAATTCCCACCGGTTTCTGCGAACACAAAAACAAACGCCAGCTGTCAGGAGATCTCAGCCACTATTTCGGTCAGGCCGTCAGCCGGGGCCCAGCTTCACAGGCGGCAGGGAGAGCAGTGACAGCGGCTGTGGCCCTGCTGCATTTGGGCTCGGGGCCTGGGGACCTTCAGGCAGGCGGCCCAGAGAGAAAACCCTGGGCTCCAGGAAGTCAGCTCCCTCAGCTCAGGCTCCACCAAGGCAGGGCATCTAGGGAGGGGTTCACGTGTGGCATTCAGGGCGGCCAGCAGGGATGTCCACCATTGTTTCTGTGCCCACACCTCCCCTGCCAGGCCACACCCCGCCTCCTCCACCCTCGCCTGCGGCTCAGAGCGGACATGGCCCTCAGCAGCCCGTGTCCTCATCTGTGACAAGGGACAATGATGAGGGCCTGGTCTGGAGGGGGTGAGGGCAGCTCGAAGCATACAGGCCTCTCCCTAGCACGCTCCCTGCGTGGGCCCAGGGGTCATTCTGTACCCAGGAGCCAGCCAGGGTGGGGAAGCTGAGGCACAGCAGCAGATGTGGGCCCCATGGGGAGTAAGCACCCTCATGCTGGTCCTGACATGCCGCCTGCTTTCAAGCCAAGCCAAGGCCATGCTGGCTGCTTACTGCGGGCAGCAGGCTGACCTGTGGGCCAGGCTCAGGTGGGACAGGGGAGCCAGGTTCTGCCTGACCCGGAGCTGGCCCAGCATGGGGAGGGCCTGAGGTGCCTGGCTGTGGGTCGGGACTCAGACTCGACTGCTGGTTATGGGCCTTTGCCTGGGCTCTGAAGTGCAGAAAGGACAGGTGGCTGAGGGGAGGCTCTCAGAGGAGCCAGGCAGCCCACGAGGCCCTGAGGCTGCTGAGTGTCCTGAGACACTTGAGGTAAGGTCTGGGAGCAGAGGCAGGGGGCAGGAGTGGCCACGGCTAGAACCAGGGAAGGGGACAGGTTTGTCTCTTCTTCTTAAGTGTTGAGCTGGATCCTGAGTCCCTGGGCCAGCGTACAGAGGGCCAGTGCCCGGGATCCCCCATGCTACCCTGATGTGGGCACAGCTGGTCCTCTGGGGAGTGAGGCTTGGGGAGCAGGGTGGCACTAGGCGGGGGCTAAGCCTGCACCACCCCTTGCAGCAGTGCCTGGGTCCCGGCAGGAAGAAGTGGTCGACCACAGGCTCACGGAGCGCGAGTGGGCGGAGGAATGGAAACACCTCAACAACGTGAGTGTCTACCTGGACGTGGGACCGGTGCCTCCCAGAGCCACCTGTGTGAGCCCCGTGAGGGCTCCTCAGGCCCGACACCCCATCTACACCCACCAGTTCCCCTGCACGAGCCCTCACTGTCCCCAGGCCTGTCTGGGCACTGTGGGGGACGGGCAGGATGGGGCCATCGTGCAGGCCAGCTGCCCCCCACTTCCTGCTCAGCAGCTTTTCCAGGGCAGAGACACTTGGGGAAGCATGTCTGGGGCTCTGTGAGGCCCCAGGTTCAGTTGGAGTGGGCAGCCACACCCCCAGGCCCCCGGTCCACCCTTTCACAGGGCCACTGATGTGGCCTTCACCCGCTGCCTTCCTGGGGAGGAGGGGGTCTCCCCAGCCCTGATCTGCCTGAGCTCCCGTGCCAGCCAGCACCTACTGCCCTTCAGCCTCGGGCTGGTAGAGACCCAGAGCCAGGGCTCGCACTCTGTCCTGGCCTTGGCCTGGCCCCTGGGGCAGGATGAGCAGCGCTGGCCGTGCCTGGGCTCCCATGCTGACTGCGCGCTGCCCCACAGCTCCTGAACTGCATCATGGACATGGTGGAGAAGACCCGGCGCTCGCTCACCGTGCTGCGCCGCTGCCAGGAGGCCGACCGCGAGGAGCTCAACCATTGGGTCCGGCGCTACAGTGACGCCGAGGATGGGAAGAAGGGCTCCGTGCCCACCCGGCCGCTCGGCAGCGCTGCTGGCCCCGAGGGATCTCAGCTAGGTGGGCAACGGGGAGGCCGCGCAGGGGCCGTGGGAGGGGTCTTGGTGGCTGAGGGGCTGGGAAGGGGCCTGATTCCCTCTGGAGCACTGCCACACTGGAGCACAGCAGAACTCAAACCAAACTCTTCCCCTCACACACAATGCCACGACCGCTGAGAGCCCAGCCCCAGGTCTGTGGTCACCAGCTAGAGGTGAATGCAGAACCCAAGGCAGGCCTGGAGCCACCGGCCTCCCGGCCTCAGGTCCTGGGCTCCAGAGCTACCCCTTCCTGCCATGGCTTGGCATAGGTTTCTGCCCATGGCCCCTGGGGACCCCCATGGAAAACTGAGGACCCCATCAGGGTGGGGGAGCCCCAGAGGAGCAGATAGCCTAACCCTAACCCTCCTGTTTCAGACCTGCACCGGGAGCTCATGCCCAGGGCACTGTCCGGCTACATGCCCGAGGAGATCTGGAGGAAGGCTGGTGCGTGGGGCAGGACGGACCCGGGGAGCAGATGGGCCCTGGGCAGCTGGGACGGGGGGCTTCCTCCCACCTGTCCCCAGGCTCGGCTGTGTCCGCACATGGTGATGCTTGTGCAGGAGGGCGTGTGGTTACACACAGGCTTGAAGGCCAGGCAGACAGGCAGAGAGCAGGAGCCCCTCGGCCTGTGGGGAGGGCTGTGACTATTTGCTGGCACAGGGGGGCACACTCAGGCCAGAAGGGACCTGGGCACAACAGGCAGATGAGGCACCTGCTTGGGGCAGGTGGAACCAACTGTGTTTCAGTCTTGATGGATTCACTGAGAAGCGAGGGAGAGGGGAGTTGCAGAAGCTGAAAGCAGAGAAGGGGCGTCCCGGCTTGGAGGTGAGGGCAAGGGGCAGTGGATGGGGCCAGGTGTGCGCCCAGCCTGGGCAGGGGGCAGCCGTCCTCATGCAGCAGTGTCCTCATCACCTCACCTTGTGAGGCCTCTGCTGATGTCCAGCTGGGGCCACACCTAACAGGGACCACTGGCCTCAGGTCAGGGGCTCAGCGCCCCAGGGATACAGATGCTCAGAGGGGAGACCCGGGGGAGTCTCAGCACTCCACGTGGGAGTACCATTTAGTCCCAGTCTGCCTCACCAGAGCCAGTTCTCAGAGACAGTGCTGCCAGGTAAACTGAGGCAGGCATCAGCAATGTTGGTGTAGTTTAGCAAGACCTCAGGGAGGACTGGAGCAGATGAGAAAGGACGCTTGGGTTATGGCCTGACCCTGTGGCTACCAGCAGACCTGGGCAGTGGCCCATGGGTGTCCTCAAGGGGCCCAAGTGCCTGCCAACCCAGGGGAGACAGAACCTGGCCCCCTGGTCCCGGGAGCAGCACAGGGGGCAGCACAAGCTCTGGGGAAGTGTGCAGAGCATGGGTGAGGTAGCCCCACTGGACCTCAGGAAGGAAAGACAGCAGGGGCAGCCTCCACACCCTGTGGCGCGCCACTCCGCTTTCTTGGTCAGACCGCCAGGAGCCCAGTGCTCACCAGGGCAGGAGAACCACAGCAGGAGAGTGGGGTGGCTTCAGAAGGTTCCATGTGCATGCTCACACCTCCACACACATGCTCAGCATGCACCGGCCTGCACACCTGTGTCTGCACAGGCTGAGGTCTCAGTGTGCCCAAGTGCACACGTGTGGAGCGGGCCAGGCGTGCGTGCTGCAGCTGTGGGCCCTGCCCACAGTCATGGAATCCCCAGGAAGCGCAAGGCTTGGCCCTGTGAACACGGCCCCACCATGCTTTGCAGAGGAGGCCGTGAACGAGGTAAAGCGTCAGGCCATGTCGGAGCTGCAGAAAGCCGTGTCAGACGCAGAGCGCAAAGCCCATGAGCTCATCACCACGGAGCGTGCCAAGATGGAGCGGGCCCTGGCCGAGGCCAAACGCCAGGCCTCCGAGGATGCCCTGACTGTCGTCAACCAGCAGGAGGACTCCAGCGAGGTAAGCGCCCGCCCTCACCCACTGAGAGAGCCACGCCCTCACCCACTGTGCTCCTGGCACCAGGCAGCAGCCACACGAGCAGCACGAGGGTAGTGCAGGGCTCCTGGCATGGGGTGTTGGTGCAAGTTCACAGCCCCTTCCCTCCTTGTCCTGGGAGATGTGGGCCACAGATATCCCAAGGAGGGCCAGGCTCAGGCATGGGGGCTCCCTGGGCAGAGGGATGGTGCCGTCAGCCCCCACTCCTCCCCACAGCTCTGCCAGCCACATTTGGCTGTGGAGGGGCAGGCTGGTCAGAGGACAGAAGTCTCTTGGGTGGGCAGAGAAAGGACTGACACAGCCAGGCATGGTGCTGCACACCTGTCATCCCAGCTACTTGCAGGCAGAGGCAGGAGGATCTAAAGTTCAAGGCCAGCCTGGGCAACTTAGCAAAACCCTGTCTCGAAACAAAAAATAAAAACAGGCCTGAGGATACAGCTCAAGGCTGGCAGCAGGTTCCAGTCCTTGGGATCAATCCCCAATACAGGAAAAAAAGGAAGAATAACCTGACACATGGAGCAGCACCAAGTGCTTCAGGAGTAGAAACGGGGTCAGGGAGCCCCTCGTGGCCCAGGGACAACCAAGAGCACCCTGAGGAAAGGGAGCCAGACTCAGGTGTCTCGCAGCCATGGGGGCAGCAGCAAAGCCAGGCTGGCTGAGAAGCCTGAGGGGCCGGCAGGATGCAGGGCCACGTGGCTGTGACTCCGGGACAGGCTCGGCTCTGGCCTGCCCTTGGGGCCCCAGAGGAGCAGGTCTTCGGGAGCAGTTACTCCGCTCTGCCCAGGTGCCCTCCCCAGACCCCAACTGCAAGTGGTCGTGTCTGCTGTGACCGGGCCAGGAGGTTTTGGGGGTTGGGGCGGTCTCCCTGCTTGCAGCATCCTAACCTCCCCTCCGCCCCACAGAGCTGCTGGAACTGCGGGCGCAAGGCCAGTGAGACCTGCAGCGGCTGCAACGCGGCACGCTACTGCGGCTCCTTCTGCCAGCACAAGGACTGGGAGAAGCACCACCATGTGTGTGGCCAGAACCTGCAGGGCCCCACTGCCGCCGTGGCCGACCCGCTGCCCAGGCAGCCGGACGTCACCGCCAGCCCCAGTGAGGCTGGCTCCGCGGGACCCTCTCGCCCTGGCTCCCCGGGCCCGCCCGGCCCACTGGATGCCACTGTGCCCCGCTGACTCCTCTAGGCCCCGACACCTGGCCCGTGGATGCCACGCCCTACCAACCCCCAGCCCAGCCTGGCTGCTGGACGCTGCACCGCCTGGCTAGCCGGCGGGAGTCACTGCTGCTACTGCTTCTGTCCAAAAGCAACACAGAACCAACCAGAGCTGCATGGCAGCCTCCTCAGCTACCTGACACAACCATCCACCACGACCTGATGACCTCTGCCCCGCACCCTCCCAAACCAGCGACCCAGCTCTAGTAGCAGCGGCGCCAGTGGAGCGTGCCTGGCTCACCCACCATCTGCCCCCACCCTGTGTCTGTCTCTGTCTGTCTGTCTGTCTGTCTGTCTCCCGCTGTCTCTTGACTTCCTTCTGTCTTTATGACTTCCATACGCGTTCCCTATCCTAAAAAAGCCCTAACTGGTGGCTTGTGTTTTCAGTGATAAATTTAGAGGATTTCATTTTGTTGGCAAAAGAGCTACTCAGAAATGGACAAAGATGACCGTGGGGTTCTCCCTTTTCCTTATTAAAAGGGAGGAAGACTGATTTTATATCCAGAGACCTGAGCTCACTGTGTCACCCAGGCCATCCCAGGGGTTACCTGGCAGACACAGCCCACACAGTGAGGAAGATTTCAGTTTCCAACTCAAGAAGTATTTTTGGTTTCAGGTTATTGTGGTGTTTTGTTTTTTGATTTTTTTTTTTTTTATGTCAAACTCTTTGGCTTTAAGTAAAAATCCAAAAAGGTTTTTTAAAAAAAGCAAAGGAAACACACCTATAAACTACCTTGCTAGCTAGTCAGCCAAGAATACCGGACACACCTCTGCTCCAAAGGAAACCCAAAAAGCAAACACAAGAAATCGAAATCCAAAACGCTTTTCCACTGCCAAAGTATTCCTTTCACTGTTTCAGTCCAGCCTGGGTTCATTTGGATGCTGGTCTTTCATTCTGTTTTGATTGTCTGGGGTGTTGGGATTCTGGGGTCCGGAGGGTCTGGGCCCGGCCAGAAGCAACCCCTCATTTCCTCTGCAACTCTGCAGCCCCTCACCAGGCAGAACCGGGAGCGGCGAGGTTCCTGGGCCCACGCACCACCGCGCATTTCGTCCGGTTCAGGGAGACACCTGTCTGTCCTCGCACCCTGTGACTGTCCATATTTCGTTTCTCTACTTGTGAAAAAAAAGTGCTAAAGTGTTCTTCCCAGAGAGAGCACAACTCTGAAACAAAACTGTGACAATCTTTTGGGCTGATTCCTGGCTGTTTTCAAAGCAGAAAGCGGCAAATGCTCCTAGAACCCCGCCCTCCGTTCTCCTCCTCTACCTCTCTCGGCTCCCACCGGTCACCAGGCAGGCCCCAGGCCTCCTTTCTTCAAACTTTGCAGGAAAAAACAAACCTATAGATGAAAGCAGCGGCCCTCCCTCCCCTGAAGACCATGCTCAGCTGTACATAACCCCGCGTCCACTGTCTGTCCGGCCGGCCAGCTGTTCTTCAGCCCTGGGGACAGGACGCTCCCCACCCGCTCTCCCACCCCCCAGGCCTCACGAGGCCCTCAGCAACTCGAGGGGGGTGAGGGAGACTCGGCGCCGAGAACAGCCTGGCCCTGCTCCCGCACGCAGAGGCAGGGCCCTGGAGGACTTGCGTGCGTGGCATCAGCAGGGCCTGTGCCCACGCCAGGGCCAGTGCACGTGAATGTGAATGTACATAGCTCTACAGCGGTCCAAATAACGGTGTCCACAAGGATGGTAAGACGTTTGCCAAATAAACAGAAGGGAAACCACAGACGTGTGTGATGCAGGAAGCAGATTTTTGGCAAAATCTGCAGCTGTTCCGGGGCGAGGGGCTGGCTCCACGGGGATGCTTCTCCCAGTTGCAGAGTTCATTCTTTGAGTTAGAGAAAGGGCCCACCAGGTGCACCAGCCCTGGGACAGCAGCACCCTGCCCTAAAGGCCACGAGCATGCTCTGGTCCTCCGGAAGGCCCTAGGGCCACAGCCCCCATGCTGGCTCTGCTCCCAAGCCTTTTAGGAGGCAGCAGCCGTGCAGGATTTGGCTCTTGGTCACACGTGGAAGCCTGTGCTGGCTTCTGTAGCTGGTTTTCTCTGTGTGCCGGCAGAGGAGACCTGGCCCCGGGTGCCTCATGTGACCCCTGCTGCTGGCCGCATGAAGCCCCTGGGCTCTTTCCTGCCTGCAGTTAGTGAAGGGCCCCATGTGCCTGCAGTGCTGGGCACCATGTTCACACAGGGCAACCCAGCAGGTCCTCAGGCCATGCGCCCTGGTGAGAGCGCTTCAAGCTGGGTCCTTGGAGCCCTGTGGTCTGAGTATAAATGGGTGAGGAGCCCTGGGCCACTGTTCTGATACCCAAGTCCCTGGCCTCCGGGTGGGGGTGCTCATTCCTGGGTGGACCCCCGCACCTCCTCTGTCCCTTCCCTCACGGGGTCCCTCTTTGGGACAGGCAGGCCTCCCAGGGACAAAGGGAGACAGGCCACCTGGCCGTGCCAGGCCCCACCAGCAGGACACGGACTGGGAGACCTGAGAGCCCAACAGGACAGGGCAGGGTAGGGCTGGTGCCTCGAGGAAGCTGAGGCCGGAGGCAGCAGGAGGGCCTTCCTGGAGTGCGGTGTGAGGAGCTTGGGCAGTGTCAGCTGCCACCCGTTGGTGGAAGGCGTTGCCCCCGTGTTGCTGCCAGAGCTGACACTGCTGTGGGTTCTGTGCTCAGGTTCTGTCCAACCGCAGATCTTCCAGCAGAACCAGGCCAGACCCTGTGACCTGGGGGATCAGCATGCAGACAGCATGTTTCTGTGCTGGGAGTGTCCTTTGCCCCTTGCAGTGGTTTCACCTTGTCCAGAGCCCTGAGCTACAACAGGAATGCTGGGGAGCCCCAGGAGGGACAGATGGACAGGATGGGTGGCAACAGACACCAGCCCATCTCCCCTTCCATTTGTGTCCCAGGCCTTCTGTCCCTCGTGCCCTCCCTCCCCTGGACCCAGGGATCTGATAGCGTCCCATGGGCCATGCCCAGGAAGGCTCACCCAGGCCAGTCCTCTGGCCAGGACAGGGGCAGAGACCTGCAGCTCAGGTCCACACTGGCCACAGGTGTTGGGGTGGGACAGGGAGACGTCACCTTCCAAGAAGGGCCAAGAGTGGCTGAGCAGGCACATGCAGCAGAGCAGCCACCGCAGGGCCAGCATGAGAGGGGGATGGGCAGGAGAGCTGGGAAGGGCTCACCTCAGCAACGTGGTGGACAGGTCAGGACAGGCCCCAGATGTCTCCTGTTTGCCACTTTTTCCAAATAGCTCCTCTAGCTGACACCAAAGTCCATCTCTGGCATCCCTCTGTCCACCCCTCTGCCCATCCCTCAGCCCAGCTAATTATCAGCCAACTGATCAGTTCATCCTGTCTGTCCATCTACTCCTCCACCTACCCCCATCCATCCATACTCACCCACCACCCATCCACCCACCTCCATCCACCCTCTACCACCCACTCATCCACCCATTCACCCACCCACTCATCTACTCTCCCAGCCACCCACCTCCATCCACCCTCTGTGCATTCATCCTTCCACCTGTCCATCCACCCAGCCACCACCCACTCAGTCTCTTCACTCCGCCTGCCCACCTGCCTGTGCTGCATCCTCCCGCACACTCCGGCCATGCCACTTTATCCTCCAGTCCCCCACAGCCATCCTTGCTCCCGTCCCCTATAGCCAGTGTCCCCAGTGTACCGAGGTCACAAGGGCAGACCAGGTCCTCTCACAGCCTCGCCTGCATGTGCCCTGGGCCAACCAGGATGCCCATGGAGAAGCTGCCTGTGAAGTAGCACCCACCACCACGGTGCCCCTGCGGGCCCAGGCCAGCCCCAGACACCTCAGGGACAGAGAGCTTCTGCTGGGGCAGGGACCAGGACCAGGAGTGGGTGGGGCAGCCTACAAGCCCCTCAGGCTCACCATGGCCACAGGATGTGCACCCTCCCTACCTCCTCCCCTGGAGGTCAGCACCTGGAGGAGGGGTCCCAAGAGAGATGTCCAAGAGGTCCCCGGGCACTGGCGTGACCCTGCATGTCTGTCCCAGCTGAAGTCCCTGGTGGTCCGCAGTTCCTTGCCCACTCCCCACCCCTCAGCCCCCCACCGAGCCATGAATGAGCTGGGGGAGCCCCCAGGATTGATTGTGCTGGACACTAAGGCCAGCTGGACTCACCTGCTCCTGCAACGCCACAGGCGAGGCCGAGGGCGGCTGCACAGAGATGGCCTGAGCTCTTCCCAGAGGCCCGTATGACCCTCTCACTTGCTGTGTTCCCTTGGCTGCCATCCAGGAGGACCCCAGACTCCAAGGCCAGCAGAAGGCCTCAGTGTCCTTCCAAGACCCCACACTGCAGTGGCCACAGATAGAGACACAGTCTACATCCTCTCCCTGCTTTGCTCCCCTCAAGGAGCTGGACCAGGAGTTGGGCAGTTTGCCCCTGAGAAGCCATGCCCATGCTCCTCTGCCCTGCCCTGTGTGGCCAGGCTGCCCCATCTGTGCAACACAGGGCACGTATCTCACCTCCCAGGCGCTGCCCCTTCTGGGCCGTTGTGCTCTTTCCCAAGCACTGCAGGGCTCTCCCTGGCGAAGGATGCAGGGCCTCCCCTTGGACAGATCAGGGTGGACTAGGTGGTGGGCAGCACACGGGAGGCGGTGGAGGACATGGCACGACCACAGGTGAGGAGATTCTCCAGCGGGATGAGCCTTGGAAGGCCGGGGCCTCAGGGAATCTAGACAACCTTGGGCCCCAGAGGTGATCTGCTGGCTTCCAGGGCCTGACTCCTCCCCAGAAAGAGCCCCACCGGGGCCGTGTCCCACAAAATGTCCCCTCTGAAGGGCACACGGGACCTGCGGAGGACTCACCAGGAAGGCGGCTGTGTGGCTGCGGGTGTGGCTCTCTCTCCCCTGGCCGGAGGCAGAGGTACTAGGCCAGGTGCTCGGGCAGAAGGTACTGTGCTTGAACTGTCCTGCCCAGAGCTGGGTGGTCCCAGGGCCTAGGGGACATGGTCCTCCCCTGTAGGCCCTGAGCTCCCACAGAGGCTGGTGAAGGGCAGGGATGTCCAGCTGGTCTTTCTGGGACACAGCCATGGTGCCCAGTCTCTGCCAGGTGGAGGAAGGATCTGGCCGCTATGGCACCTCAGATCCCAGCCCAGGGCAACCAGCCTTACTGTCCATCCTCGCCCTGCCCACCCTGCACACCCACCCACCCTCAGCCCAGATAGAAACCCAGGCCAGCGTGGGCCCAAGGGCCCCTGAGCACCTCCCTGGTGCTGGAAGTGGGGAGCTTCCTGAAACCTGGCCCTGAGGCCACCCAGCATGTGGGTCCAGCAGTTAGGCCTGGGGTGGGTGAGGCCCCAACCTGCTTGCAGATTGGCCCTCTGATGGCCAAGGAAGAAGGGGTGCAGTGACCTGGCAAGCCCTCCAGAGGGCGATGTGTGGCAGGTGGCTATCCCTAGAGAACCAGCGCTCAGTTCAGCTGGGGTCCTGGGCCTCACTCAGAGCAAAGGATGGGCTCAGCGGAGGCTGCTCCACCTAAGATGTACCCGCGGTGGGGGTGCAGGGGTCCATGGAGACCCAAGCAGAGGCTCCCTCTGCTCGACCTCCCTCGGTCCTCCATGTCTCGGACCAGGCCCTGCCCGACCAGCCTAGCCCTTGCGGTCCCAGGCTCGACCAGACCTGGCCTCCTTACTCGTTCATGCCCCATTGCTAACTGGGGCCTCCTGGGGGCGCTCACAGCAGCTGGCCCTGCCCGAGGGCTCATCATCCTGCCCTCCCATGGGGAAAGGGTGGGCAGGGCTGCCCAGCTGGGAGCCCTTGGTGCTGCAGTGGGAGCAGGTGGCCCTGGGCTCCGCACCAGCGGCTTAAAACCCGGGGCTGGGCAGGCGCGTGGAGGTGAGCGGCAGCAGAGGCGAGCAGCGGCCTGGGCTCCCGGCTCCCATGTGGCCCTTCCTGAGCCACACGCTCTTCCCGCCCCCCACCAAGGCCTGGCTCCAGACGGTCTCCTCGGACCCCGAGGCCCAGGGCTGGGGGGCTTGGACTGGGACGGAGGAGACCCCTCTGGAGCCGGCGCGTGGGGACGGGAGGGAGGCTGAGGAAGACGATGACGGAGACTATGGCTTCCTGCTGTCCCTGCTGGAGTCCGACAGCCTGGCCAAGGGCCCCGAACCTGACCAGGTAGTGAGGTGGTGGCAAGCAGGGACCCAGGCATGGGCTGAAGACAAAGGGACAGGAAACTGACCAGACGGGACAGGGCCACCTGCCTGGGGAGGAAGCCTGGTGGAGGTCACAGAGGCAGAGGTCATGGGGTGGAGGTCACAGGGGCTTCTCTGCAGGCCTGAGCACTGCTAGGAGAAGAGGGTCATCTCTCAGAGTCCACAGACCCTGGCAGGGCTGTGCCCTTCTTATCCTGGCCCTGGCGGGTGCTGCAGGGTATCCCCAAGCTCACCCGGCCACGCTGGCAGGAGCTGGAGGCCATCAGGCTGAAGCTGTGGACCATGGAGCAGGCTCAGCAGGCACCGGAACAGCCCAGCCCACAGGCCAATGCCATGGAGGAAGAAGCAGCCAGGGCCAGGCAGCTGCTGAGCCCTGAGACTGTGGGTAGGAACCCAGGGCTCCCCAGCCTTACCCAGGCGCCCAGCCTGAAGCTCAGAGCCCACCCTGAATCTGGGCAGGCACAGGTGGTGTCGCCTCAGGTCAGGCCCGCAGCGCCCCACCAGCCCAGATGAGAAACAGCCACCTTGTGTCTGGGGCCCTTCCCTGCAGGCTGCCCTTGCCCCGGGGTCCCCAGGCAGAAGGTGGAGGCCGACCACAGATCCATCTACGTAGGCAACGTGAGTGGCAGGAGGGCATGCCGGCGACCCTCTGTGGAGGGGGCAACCATCCCGGTGGCCATGAGGTGGAGTCCTGTTGCCCTGTACCAGGGTCCAGGGAAGGGGGTCAGGGTTGGGGCAGCTAGAAACAGAGCCTGTTGTAAGATGTCCTGTTTTCTCAAGCGACTGTCACTTTACAGACTGCACACCTCAAAGTTAGCCAAAGGGCTGCAGGGTGCAGTCTGTGGGGTCTGCATGGAAAGTTCACACTCGGGTGTGAGCCCATCCCCCACAGGGGTGCAGTCCCAGTGCTACTGTGGCGGCTCCTGGGTCCTTCCCCTCTCCGCAAAGAGAACACAGGGGCCATGCCTGGGCAGGTGGACTACGGCGGCACGGCTGAGGAGCTGGGGGCCCATTTCCACCCCTGCGGGGAGGTACACCGTGTCACCATCCTGTGCGACAAGTTCTCTGGCCACCCCAAGGGGTCAGTGCAGGGCTGGGGGCTGGCAGTGTGGACCCACCCTCGCCTGACGCTCACCCTGCTCTCGGCCCCACCCCCAGGTACGCCTATGTGGAGTTCACCACCCAGCACTCGGCCCAGGCCGCTGTGGAGCTGGACGAGAGCATCTTTCGGGGTCGCGTCATCAAGGTGGGCACCCCTGGGGGGTTCCCGATCCCGAGCCGACCCCCCAGGAGCGCTGGTGGTGCCCAGGCTGCCCCTTGCCCGAGGCTGCACAGGTGGAAGCGCAGCCGTTCCGGCGCAGCAGCTCTGAGCTGTGAGGGCTGCGAACAGGCACAGGATGCAGCTGGAGGAGTCTAGAGTGCGTGCCTTCGGTTCCAGGTGCTCCCCAAGAGGACCAACTTCCCAGGGATCAGCTCCACAGACCGCGGGGGCTCCCGGGGGCACCTGGGCACCAGGGTGGCGCCAGGCCTGTGCGGCAGCCTCCAGGGCAGGCCCCGGGTCCGCCCTCGTGGGCAGGGCAGGTAGGAGGGCTGGGGGGATGAGCCTGACTGGTGGGCCCAACCTGTCACCCGTGGGGACCCTGAGACGCCAGGAGGTGCTGACCCGTTATCTGCACCCCTCACCCCACCCGGTGTCCCACCCCGCAGGGGACGCGGAAGATTCTCCATGTGGTTCTCGCCGTATTGAGGGGACACCTGACTGCGTGGGCTCAGGGCTGGGTCAGGAGTCAGCAGCTGTGTCCCCAGGGGACTGCTTGTTCCAGATAGGCTAGGTCTGCAGCCACAGAGTCACACAGCTGCCCAGCAGGTGGCCCCACCTGGGGGGCCCTGGACAGCTGGGTGGCTGAGGTGGAGGAGGGGGCAGCAGGGAGGCCAGGAGAGTGCCTGGCCAGGATGGGCTCCTCAGCTTGCTCATTTTAAAGAAAAACAGGACTGTGTGTCTAAACAGTAAAGAATAAATTATTAAATTTGGATTTTTTTAAAAGCACATGACGACAGATCTCATGCTCCCCTTTTCTCCTGATACAGATGCAGGTCCACATTGCACCTTCTCGGGTGGACCCAAGGGTGAATGGGCTGTGACAGTCCCCCAGTGGGGGCAGGCGGTCCTTCCCATGCTGGACCTCCACACTCAGTGTGGGCCTCCAGGATACCTCTGGCTTGGTGCCCTCACCTGGACAGACCTGCCACAGGCCAGCCTGATCAGCCTCTCAGGAAGTAGGAGTGCAGACAGCCGCCTCAGGCACTCTGTGTCTCCATGAGGCAGAGACCCTAGGTCCCTGAAGATGGGGCCACCCTGCACCCTGACAGGCGGGAAAGAGCCTGGTCAGGCCCCAGGTTGACACCATCAAACACATGCCTCTGCTTCATCTTTGTCTCAAAAAAGAAAAACTCTTCAGCTGCAAGTACCTTGCACTATCTGGGCGGACCTTAGGCCCAATGGTGACATGAGACCCAAGACACTCCAAGGGAACAGCAGCAGAGGCTGGAGTGACACCAAGGGTTACGGGAGCCACAGGCCTTACAGAGCTGCAGAGGTGGTGGCCCCAAGCTGACAGCAAACTTGTGCCACCACATCTCAGTGGTTGGGCCCATGTGAGGAACAGGGGAGCTGGGGGCTGAGGCTGAAGCCTTGCCGAGCATGGGGCTATTGCAGGGCTGGGCACTGAGCAGAAGTTGGCACAGAGCTGCTGTTGCCTGCCCAGCACTTCAGGCCACTTCCTGGGACGCACTGTCCTGCAGTGTCAGCCCTAACAGCACAGCCGCTCCTGTAAGAACCCTGCCTCTCTCTTCCCATAGATTTGAGGAATGGGGTGCTCTGCCCGACCCAAGTCTCCAAGCACAGGTGGCCACTGGGTGAGCAGCTGCTTGGCGGGGCCACGTCAACAGTGACAGAGCAGGTGCCCTAGGTCTGGCCTGGGGCAGAAGGAAGGAAAGGACATGGCTGGTGCCAGGAGGGGAGACATCCTACAGAGGTCACCAGAGAGGCAGCCCTTGGGCCTGGGCTGGAGACTGCCCCAGAGGCAAAGCCAGGGGCTGATGGACAGGGCCCGCTGCACCTAACAGACACCAGGGGTTTCAGGGAGAGGGGTTTACCCCCTCCCCACAGAATGAAGGCGGAAGACACGTGTCCAGAGCTGGGACTCAGCACCGGCTCCAGCTTCCTGCTGCCCTGTGCTGAGGCAGGATTCTCATCCGAATGCTCTCAAGACAGCTGTCCGCGGTCTGGGGGCACATCCATGTCCCAGGCAGGAAGAGGCAAAGACAAACCCCTTTTAAAGAGCCTCCTCTGGAGGTCTCTCCCCATACCATGCACTCATGCCTTTGCTACCTGCCCTGGGATAGGACGTGGAAGCAGCGTGCATCTCTAGCAATATGGGGTTCTCAGCGAGGCAGAAGGGGTGCTGGAGGCAGTGTGCAGTCTCCTGATGCAGGTTCACCGAGATTCCATGACCGGCTGGCATCCCTGCCCTTACACATGCAGCCTCCTGGCACAAACTGTGAACCAGAGAGTGTGTAAATCCTGTGTATCAGGACCAGCTGCCCACTGTCCTGAGCCTCAGTCCTGCTGAGGTCTCCCATTCACCTGGGGTGGGAGATCTGGGGCTTGCATTTGTTTATGCATGCAGCACAGGGCCTTTGTATCAAGCTACACCCCAGGCGTCTCTTTTATTTTTGAGGCAGGGTCTTGCTATGTTCCCAGGTTGGGTTTGAATTTACAATTCTCCTGCCTCAGAGTGCTGGGGTTACATGTGTGCCATTACACCCAGTTTATTATTATGCAATTTTAAAAACCAACAGTGTGCTTGCTGGAAGGGAAGGCAGCCCATCCCACCCCAGCTGCCCCTCCTGGGCATGCTTGGGCCCTAGAATCTTTGGAACTCTCAGGGGAAGGAGGGGAAATGCACAGTTGCTCAGGGAGCCTGGATCCTGGACCTGCAACTCAAGAGAGCCCAAGGCTCTGGACGCAGCATGGCACAAGGACACCTGGACGGATGGCGTCAGCGCAGGATCCACGCAGCCCCTACCCTGCCCAGGCCAGCATCTCTCAGCCAGCCGTCAAATGACACAGAAGCCAGCCTGACTCAGAAGGCCCAAGTACCCCCCCGATTCTGGGCATAGTTGGGGTCACCATCTTGGGCTTTGGCTGAACGGGTTTTGGGGACGTTGACCACAATGCCAGGTTGTCCTGGGGAAGCCCAGGGGACAGCAGTGGACTCAACTGTAACCGCCAGGGTCAAGAGTAGAAGCTTGGGTTCCTATCCTCAGTGCCCACCCTGCGCTGCTACCTGAGGTCACTGCTCCCAGGGCAGGCCAATGCCCCTGCAGGAACAGGCTTCCTACTGCATCTGTCCCAGAGGTCCTCAGTGCGCCCCCTGCTGACACAGAAGGACAAGCCAACCTCATCTCCCAAGTTTTAGTGGCAAGGCACATGCACCCCCCACCCAGCCAGCAGCTCCCTTACACACAGGAAAATGAATGACAATAAATAGACTCTCTGAGCCGCTATGCAAACAACGCCTCTCTCGGTCAGGGCGCAGGCAGCAGGAACCTCTCAGCACACCTGGATCATCATCGACGTTACCATGCTGTCAAAGGCCCTTGGAAGAAAAACAGTGATCAGGGAAGACAGCTCCTACCCGTCCCTGTGGGCAGAGCTGCACCCCCGCCGGATCCCCAGGAAAGACAAGGACTTCTCTGGGGTCCAGGTGATGAGCTCCACCTCAAGGCCAGGATGCGAGTCTCTCCCACCCCCATCCCTATCTCCTGACCCAGTGGTCCCCACACCCTTCCCTGGCAAGGTTCCCAGGTTAGGGTCCGGGGTCCCAGGCAGGGGCAGGGGAGCAGCTGATGTGACAAGAGCAGCACTGTCCCTGCCCGGTGCAGCTGGGGACACCTGCTGCTCTCACCTGGACCATGATGACCCCAGACAAGAGTGAGGGAGGGCACGTGGCACGGGCCTGGCGTGGGTCACCTGCCCCTTGGGGACTGTTGTGAACCAAGGGAAGCTGATGTGGGATGCCGCACATGGACCCATGCTTCTCAGAGCTCCTTTGTGACATTCATCCAGACATTAAGTCTGCCACATCTGTTTGCTGGCCGTGCTGGGAACTGGACCAGGGCCTCTTGCATGCCAGGCAAGCACTATGCTACAGAGCCACCCTCCAGCCCGGGGAGACCCCTGTGAAGCGAGCTCCTAACTATCCAAGTCCTCCAGGAAAGGGATGTGGGCAGTGACAAGGGGACATTTCCTCTCCGAGGGCCACTGTGCACAAACCTAAGCCCTGGCTGCATTCTCTGGGATGCCTCAGGGACCCACTGGGTGCACCTGAGAAACCGAATGGGCAAGTCCTGTCCCCATCTGCCCTGCAGCCGGAGGCCTGAGTCAGCTCATTTACAAAGGGTTTCTTTCAACACTTTGAACTCGGTGCCACGGGGGCCAGGACTTGGGGCTCCTACACTTCAAATGGCTCCACTCACGCCAGGCGGACCCTGCACAGAGGAGGCCACAGGGACAGCAGGCCCACCTGGACTGGATGGGGTCTCCAGGGTTGTAGAAGGGGTTACACATCACATCTGTGTAGGAGTTATGCAGCTTCCGGAACATCTGAAACAGGACCCAGTGATGGTTCAAGCGAACACAGGCTGTGGCTGCTGCCGGGTGTGGGCCTCTCAGCACTCCCACACAGCAAAATGAGCAACAACAAACCCACCCCCCTCGAGGCACCACCTCAAATCTCCCACACTCACACTGCGTATTTCGTTGTCTCGAAGGGCTGTGTTTGAGGAGTCCACCACCATGACAAACTTCACCTTGGAGTTGGTCACGTAGCCGTATCTGCACAGCTGGTTAGGGAACACGGGACTGCTGGCGGAGCCTGCGACCCAGGGACCACTGTGTGCACTGGCTTTGCAGACACCCGACAATCCTGAATCACAGGCGGTACCCAGAGGGTCAGGTCCTGTGGTGACCATGCAGGTGTGGGACTGGACACCTTTATGGTGCTGACTGGTGTCTGCAGAAGCAGAAGCAGCCAAGCCCACATGACTCACACCACGTCTGTCTGTACCAGGACCACATCACCCTCTCTTGAATCAATGTCAGGCCCAGAAGTTAACTGCAGAACCAGTTTTCACAAATAGGCTCCCCTCTCACAAGCCACGTCATAGTATAACACAGCAGCTCCCAGGCCAACATCATTGTTATGGCTTATATCTAGACGTCCCCATAAAGCCTCATGTGTTCACAGGCAGGGGTTTGGGGAAGCAATAGGGTCATGTGGGGGAGATACTCATCAGTGATGAGTTTCTAGCAAGACATGATTTGGGAGGTAAAGTCAGCTGGCGGTGGAGGTGGGCACTCCCTTCACCTCTGCTTCGACACTACCATGCCTAGAGCCATTCTCCTCTACCATGTCCGTATCATGCCATCCCACCCGGGAACCAGCCAACTATGAGTGAAACCTCTACAAACTGAATCAAAATAAACCTTTCTTCCTTAAGTGGTGGGTGTCAGGTATTTCATCCCAGCAAGAAACCATGTTACTGCCCATGGAAATGTCTTTGAATTCCACAACCTCAAGTGATTGTCACAGAGACTGCCCAAAGATTTCCAATAACAACAACCCAACAATAAAGACCAACAAGAGGACTGGGGATTTAGCTCAGCGGCACAGCGCCTGCCTGACAAGTGCAAGGTCGTGAGTTCGATTCCCAGTACCGGAAAAAAAAAAGACCTAACAAGAAACGAATGAATGAAACGATTGTCCCTGCTTGAAGCCAGGGCCCCCCTGAAGCTGAAAAGCACAGGAAGAGCCCCCCCCCTGCAGATATAAAGCAAAGGAAATGTTTCTCCCCACATATGTTACCATTCTCCATGGAAGTGAAGCCCTGTGTATCTCAAGTGATTCTCTCAATTAAAGAGAGATGAGGTTTAGAAGCCTTCATTAGCTTCAGGCTGCCCCAATTCTATGGCTTGGTGAAAATCCTCATTTTTTTCCCCTTTCCAAATTTTTTTGGTGGATTTCTTTTGTGGGTTGGTTTTTTGAGACAGAGTTTCACTATGTAGTTCAGGCTGGCCTTGAATTCACTATGTAGCCCAGGCTGGCCTCGAACTTGCAGTGATCCTCCTGGCTCAGCCTCCCGAGTGCTGGGATTACAGGCGTGCACCACCATGCCCAGCTCAATTGTTTTCTAGAGTATACACAGCTAGTACAGCACTGTGCCAGGGCACTGAAAGATACACCTTATAGTCCTCTGTTGGGTAGAGCAGACCCAGGTACAGCTCCCGCTGGTCCACCAGGGCCTTCCCCATGGCAGAGATCTTCTCGTCCACCACGTCAAGGGACGTGTGCACCATGTAGTGGAACTTCAGCTCATTCTCCATGGGAGTGCTGCGGATGTAGAGAGGGTAATTCTGCAAAAAAGGATGATGGCAACTCAAAGGACAGGAACCCACCCAGCACATGCTGGCTCTGAACAGTGCAGAGCGCCAGAGAGCAGCCCACACCCACAACCATCCTGGGAAAGGACCCTCTTTTGTGACATCCACACTGCACTCTCCACCCTCCCTCAGGCACTGCATGTGGATCCCGTCTCATCTAAATTCATGTGCCATCAGGTGATAGTGACCTCATCTCCTGGGTAGCTCACATAGGGCACCTTCCTGAGTCACTCTGCCCCAGCTACCTTGGGGTCTGAGTGGCACCATCCTAGCATGGTACCACCCCCCAAGGCCAGTGGCCCCGTTCCTCAGCCCTTCGAGGCTCAGCTCAAGGGCCCCATCTCTGTACATCTAATCATCCTAACCCCGGGAATGAACAGCTTCACTCCCAGCCTCCCACATGCCACAATTCCCCATGCCTGACAGGCTAAACACGCTGACATGTGAACATGACGTCCCCACCTGATGGGACAGGGCGGTACCTGGTCCACAGACCTGCAAACGCACACTGGCAGTCCCCAATTTAGAATAGTTTACATACGATGCTTTACCATGAGTTTATCCAGGTATTAAGCACATTTTCGACTTAGGACAGTTTCAATTTACGGTGAGTTTGTGGGGACAGTGCCCGATCTAAGGAGATGCCCTTGTCAGTGCTCCACTGTGGCCGTGCTCAAAGCCCATGAGGAGCATCGCAGCCGCATCCCTGATGGCGTCTGCTCTCAGAAAAGAACCTGGTAAGAAATGCTCCGTGCAGAGGAGCAGGTAGATGTACGCTGGCAGCTGATGGAGGGAGGTTGGGAGGCCGTGGTAGAGGACAGGCCCTGTCCGGGAGCTGCAAGTGGAACTGGGCACAGGGGGAGTGGGGGGGTCAGCTAACCAGGTTATTCAGACGCCACCCTGAAGCAACGAGACACATTTTAGGCAGAGGTGCACCACGATTTGTTCTTTTGAACCCTCGGGCAGGAGAGGGCGGCACCGCCCGGGGCAAGGCAGGCCATGGGTAGAGAGATGGAAACGCGGAAGCCTGCGGAGGCCGCGGGAGGAAGAGCCGCAAACGCGCGGAGCGGCTTCCGGCCCCAGGCATCTCTCCGGTGGTCCCAGGGCTGGGAGGAGTTCCGGGATGACAAGCGGGCAGCGAGGCCCGGGCCCGGCTCGGCCCGGCTTAGGAACCCGGGCCTGGAAGGAAGGGACGCGGGGACGCGGGCAGGGCAGCAGGGTCCCGCGGGCCGGGCCGGGAGGGCCGCACGCCCGCCGCCGCCCGTCCACACGCACCTCCTTGGCGATCACCGCGATGCACACCGCCATCTTGGCCGGCTGGCCGAGCGGCGTGTCACGTGACCAGTGCGGTCATCACGTGTCCGCCCAGGCCCCGCCTCTCGTTGCAAGCGGCTGCGAGCCTGAGCCCAGCTGTGGCACCGCCTTTCCGGGCCCGCCCTTCCTGTCGTTCAACCGCTCTGCCCCGCCCGCCCCGTCCT